GGCCCTAGCAAAAAACCCTAAATAGTAGTTTCCATTTTCTTTTCCATTATCCCTATATAACCCCTATACAATTTTGTCCTATTTGATTGGGTTTTACATTGGGTGTACCCAGGCGGCCAATGACCACGACTTTCTTCTTTGGCGCAGGGCGGGCTGAAGGTGAGGTCAGCAGCAAAGGTTGTGGCAGGACCACCAAGACTGCCACCAGTGCAGACCTCAACGCCATTGTTGGCATTCATATAATAATTGTTACTATTAATATCACTATAATTATTGCTACTATTATTGCTGCTGCTACTGCTACTACTACTACTACTACTACTACTACTACTAGTACTATTGCTGTTACTATTGTTATCCATGAAAGCCCTACTTGATGACCATGCATGGTAACAGGAAGCAGGATAATCTTAAAGAAATTCAGTTGCAGAGAAGAAGGCTATGTAATGCGCCGCCTTTTGACGGACTAGCTACACACACAATTCAAACTCACCGTCCCCCAGCCGCAAAAATAAAACTCTGCGGTCCTCTGGGGCAGGCGTGGAACCTGGGGTTGTGGAGTGTGTTATTTGCTTGGCGCGATCGTACTCCTACCAGAGCAGCTCCACTGCTGCCCACATCTTCTACTTCACAGGGACACCCCCTCTTCACATGGACAAGAATCATATAATCGTCCATTTGATTCTCTATTCTTGGTAATCACATTGGCAATCATAAATGCCCCGAAATCTACTCTGAAAACAGACGAGGGCTTCCACAAATCAGGGATCCCGTTTAAGGGATTCTTATCATAAGGACTATAGCATACTGTTTTGGGGTCCATATGGGGGTCCCCCAAACTACCAAATCCTGAGCCCAGCACAGCAGTGGCCAGCCTATCAGGCATGGGGTTTAGGGTTTAGGGTTTAGGAGCCGTGTTTGCTGCTTGCTGTGGGAGTTTATCCAATAGTAATAAGGATAATGAAAGTGAGTCTAGTATAAAACTACTGCTAACCATAATCCCTGCTGAGTATCAAGTATAGTGTCTTACCTAGTGTTTGCGGGTACCCAAATCGGATCTGAAATTAGGATGCCGCCGCAATGGCGGCAATGGTCATAGTCCACAAGACTTCATCATGCTCAAGAAGTAGGGGAGAGTATAACATATCCCAACATATACCCAATTTTAATGTAGTAGCTTCAATTTTCTTTTCCATCATCCCTATAAAAACCTATAGAGGGAAGCAGGGCCTGAGGGGGTTTAGGGTGTGGGGGGGCCTCAGGGACACCTCAGAGTAGCAGCGTGGCCAACAAGCGTCTGAGTAGAAAGAGATCATACTTTTGGCAACCCGACAGAAATCGGGGCAAGGGACTAAAATGTATACCGAATGCCTATATGGGGGTTTCCCAAAATTAGGGGTACCCTTTTGGGGGTCCCAATAATAAGGACTACAGTATATTGGGTTCTATATTGGGGTCCCCTTATTTTGGGAAACTACCTATATCTCTATTGATTGGCGGACGGTCTGTTGTCGGGGCCCCCTTTTTCCGGAAACCCATGTTCTATCCGTTCTATCACGACCCAGGTCGAGACGATGTTGGGCTGCCTGCTCTTGAGTCCATGTGCAATAGTATTGAACAAGAACAACACTTGAAAAACAGTCACGCTCGTCCCTTGCCCAAAGCTCGACAGTCCGCAGAGTACGCTAATGTCTTGTGTTGGGGTTAGGGAGGGCTCCCTGACGCCTGCGCGCTTTCGCCTCATTGCAGGATGATGTCGGCCGCTGAGAAGGCCGCTAAGGAGCAAGAGGAAGTGGCTTCGTCTGCTGTCTTGATGATTGCTATTGACTAGCAGGTTTGCTGATTCAGTGCTGAGTGTCTTTGCAACTGCGATGATGCGCTTCTGCTCTTGCTGTTGCTTTCCTCCAAGAATTCAAGGTAAAAGCTGGCCGGGGTGGTGCTTGGCTTTCTCCGGCACAAATGCATCTCAGTTTGGAGCTAAGAGCCAAAGTCGGGTAGACACGTGAATGCCAGCTTTAGAAACAGCGAGTCCTCCATGGACACGGGGAAGTATCACACTTGCTATTGCTTTACCTGCCAGAGTCAGGTAGGGTTTACAAGCAGCTACTCACATGAGCTATAGTCTAACGTTCTAGTATCCCTATTAATAAGCCCTATAGTGGTCCCAATATATAATCTCCGATATGGGTTATAAGAATAAGGCCACAAATCATGCTGAAATGGCTCATCACACGTGCTAGAGCCGGCATTTCTGTCATTACCGAGACATGATTTCTTTGGCTGTATTCAAAGGATTATTGCAAAATCAACATGAGAACCGAGCCACCTGAAGACCGCAAAACACGAGAGACGCAACTGGAGGGCAGCTAAGCCTGGGAGGCTCTGAGTAGTCCATTATCCCTATTTAACCCCAATATACTATAGTAGTTTCCATTTTATTTTCCATTATCCCTGTATTACCCCTATATAAATTATGGGAGCAATTGACAACCTTCTGACAAGGGCTCCGAGCCTTAGCCCAACGACGCTGTTTGAATTAATACTATAATCTACTAGAATGTCTCATAATATATAGTAATGTATGATAACATAATAGAATAGGGCATAAATGGGCATAATAATGAAGGGCTGAAACGGGGGCAAACGGTTTTTCAGACCTGGTCCCTGCTATTTCGAGAAAGAGCCTCTGGATTCGACACCCAAGAAGGCCTCACAACCAACACCCTGAGGCCCCCGCCCATCCAGCTGCTACAGAGACGTGGCCGACACGCCTGCTTGGCACGTTGGGAGCATTGTGGTAGGAGGCGGCATCTTGTGCAGGAAGCTTTGGTGATTCAGTAGGGGCCTACTTTTGGTCCCCAGAAAAAGGATTGTATTATATGGCAAAGTACGATACATTGGAACCATTTTTTTCTGCGCAGGCACCATTCGTGGCACTGCATGGTCGCAGCTTCTCTTGGTGTGCTGCCTGGTCGTGAACGTTGCCCTGGACCTGGACAGGCGTTTCATGCGTGAGCCAGTGCCTTACCTGTGTTGTAAGAGCTGTAACTGCTCAAACTCATCGATGCTTACAGTGCAGCCGAGAGAAAATCTTGTTGTAAAGGAGTGACTGCATGTACCGCATGTAGTTCTCGCCTTCAACACTACTGCTCCTGGAAGTATCCATGACATCTTTCGGTAACTCTGGGGTCTCGGCCAGAGCACTTCTTGCCGCTCACCAGCTGTTGGCACCTTGTCGAGGAACCAGCCAAGGCGACAAGGACGAAATACTCCCACCCGCTTAGTAAGAAACGGCATGATGGATGATAGGCATCTTTCTCAGGGATTGTACAGGGACTGCTAGAGCCAAAGAAATCCATGCTCTTTTTCCGGACGAAGCACCAGATAGATCAGTGCTCTTATTCGACCATCACGAGACTCGGCAAGCAACCTTACTCTCCTTGAAGAACTCATGGTAGCCCAAGTTTGCCACAGGAAGTCGCTATAACCAGAATTAGACAGCCACCGCCAGTTTGGGGAGGCAAAGCCGACAGCACAGGCAGTCTTCCAAGTGCCACACGCGGAAGTGTGCGGTGGCCTCAGGTTGAAGGTTCGGGGTTTAACGGCGCAAGGCTTTAAGAATTCAAAGCGTCAAAGAAGATACGTCCAAGCAAGCCCCAACACTTTCCAAAGCATCCACCCTACTGTCCCAGCAACATCGACACTGCAACTTGCGGCTCTTCAAGCTTGAAAGAACCCTGTGCTTTGGGGAGGTGCAAAATTTCATCATCAACAATGCGGGGGTTGCTTTCTTACTTACGTAATAAGCAACAAGTGGAGAAGTACTACACGTAGGCGCCAGGCTGCCAGCTTATCGCCGGAAGCTTTCTCTATGAGAAGGACCTGGCGACGAGGGTCAGGGTTCCGGTTTCAG